AAAAAAAAAAAAAAGTAACGTCTGTCTGTCCCAGACAGGGAAACATCCACTGTGAAAACAGAGAAAACACCGAAGCCCACTGACCATGTCACTGACTCTGTGATACCACTGACCATTTGACTGCTCCTCCGACCCACTCCTGAGAGGGCTTGGAAAGGAAACAGAACTGGGATGGACTGACCTCTATGCTGCTAACGGTTCCCATGTTTTACCATATCATCCTGGGAGAAGCAAATTTCTATTTTCTATGCTACTTTGGAAAAAACTATGATGGAGGAAGAAAAAAAGCTTAACATAGGATTTTAAGTTATTTAGTTTTGTTATTTTGGGGAGTCTTTAAAATTTAAAAGTGTCTGAGTGTTTTGCCAGCATGTTTATAAATTTTATGTTGCATACTGTCTGTGGAGGTCAGAAAGGGAGTTGGATCCCCTGGAACTGGAGTTATAGGCAGTTGTGAACTGCCATGTGGGTGCTGGGAATTGAACCTGGGTCCTCTGGAAGAGCAGTCAGTGCTCTTAACCATTGAGCCGTCTCACCAGACCTCTGTTTATTTTTAAAAAACAAATTCTAGAATATGTGCAGAACACTTTGCCTTAATAGCCATCAATTAGTAGTGCCCAGAATTGCAGGGAGCACTGCAGATGTTTCCAAGCTAAAAACAAAATTTCCTTATTATACATTTAGACAACTTTGTATATACTCGAGACTCTGGGCTTTTTTTTTTTGAGACAGGGTTTCCCTGTATAACAGTCCTGGCTATCCTGGGACTCACTCTGTAGACCAGGCTGGTCTTCAGCTCACACCTGCTTCTGCCTCCCAAGTGCTGAGATTAAAGGTTATAAACCCATCAAGAGAGGGCTCAGCAGTAAGAACACTTGCAAGGCTCCCAGTGACTCCGGTTCTGCTCCCAGTACCCACAGGGCAGCTTCAAACCACCCGTAGTTCTGATTTCAGGGGATCTGATGTCCGCTGCTGACTCTGCAGGCACCAGACACGCAGTGGTGTGTGCACGCATGCACACACGCAAAACATGCATACACACGAAATAAAAATCTTAAGAAAAACAAAACAAAAGGAAAAACAAATCGTAAAGACAGATGCTCTATTGAATGCTTAGTTACCTCGCTTAGCAGCTTTGTTGCTGAATTCCACTCTACCTCAGGCAATGGATCAAGAGTGTTACTGAACGCATCAGACTCAAACGACAGTGCTGTAAGTAGAAAAAAAAGATGCATGCTATAAACATATTTAGTATAAGTTTTGCTAAAAATAAAAATGAGATTAATAAAGAATTCTGACTAGATGTAAGCTCAAATTAACTTATACTGCCAAGAGCATGTAAATAATAGATATGAACACTGATCATATTATTGTATGAATTAAAGCTGGCTGGAATTTGTGATAAAATAAACATCTTTGAAACAATACAGATAAAAACAACAAATTCTGCATCTGAGAGTTGATCAGTGTCAGTAGATTAAAATGTCCCTAAAGATGATTATAATGCTGGAGACATAGTTTTGAAACGCAGTCCTATAGAAACGATATAAATGACACACCCTGAATAGAATGGAATGAAACTAGAATAAGTTTAGTGGGATGTTATGGGAAGACTGTACCATTTTAGCTGAACATTAGAGCAAAAATAAGTCACGCACCTGATTTATATGCTCCAACTATACTATACTGTTCTGTTTGTGACAGGGTCTTACCATAACCCAGTCTAGCTCTGAATTCCTGGCAATCCTCGTGCCTTAGTATCTCAAGTGCTGGTATTATAAACACAAGCCACTGCACTTGATTTACATTTCATCTAAATCTTAAGAGATTTGGAATCAACAGATTTTCACAAATGTTCACTATTTAATCATATCTGAACTATACATACTTTACTTAACCATATTTCTCATATTAGCCATGTTAGTGTCTATGGAGACACATTTATAATCCAACGGAGCTCCACTTAGAGAAGTACTCACATTCATCATTCTCTCCCAATCTCATCAGAGAGTTTTCTCTCAAAAGAGTCACAGAAGTTTTGCGTGCTCTTGTTGTTACGTTTGTTGGGACTTGAAATTCATTGACATAGTTTGAATTCTTCATTTTGTTAATTTTGCCATAGCACCAAGTAACTCTTCGCTTCTTTTTAACCTTAAAAACCAAGAACAAAAGAAATCAAAATTATTCCATACAGACCCAAACTCAGACAAAATAAAACAAGGAAGCTACTTCTTAATTTTTATTTATGTAAACACCATGGTGAATTCCTAGGTCTGGTTTACTTTAGGTCTTTAAGAAAACACACTGAGCTCCGTGGTAAGCACATGTTTACCCTGCACAAAGCCCTGGGTTAAATCCCAAGAACCAAGAGAGAAATGTATAATTGACTTTTGTCAATTATAGGATCAAGTGCTGACTCTAGAATCAAGTATCTCTCTTTTCTCCTTCCTAAACCCTCCCTCCTCTGTCCATCCTACAGTCTACCCTGACTCACTGTGAAGCAGTTTTCGTCCTCACCACATAACTAAAGACGCTCTTGCAAATAAGTCAAGGCTTCACTGTATCCACAGGCAAGGAACAAACCCCAAAACATCAAAGTCCTATTTAGTTTCTCTCTCAATTCCTCCCCAATTTGTCCAATTTGCTCCCTTTCCAGGGTCATAATTCCCCCAGAGATGCAACTTACCTCATGCAGACAGAAGCTATACCCTTCTGAACCTCAATGTTGATGTCACATAAGGCTCTGTTGTCCTTAGCATAATGCCACACTCACATTCCTCAATGTGCTTCAATATGCCCTGGCCACTGTGCATCTTAAGTTCAAAGTATGTTTACCTCGCATTTGCAAAACTCTTACACTTTTGGTAACGTAGGTTACTTCTTGAAGCATCTTCCATTGAGCTATTTCCTATTCATCGCTTACCTATACATCAACCAATACTTCTTCAATGTCTGCACATCCGCTAGTGACTTACACAATAGCCTACTGGTAATTACACTCAAGACTCACATTAGGATTTTCTGCATGGAAAGGACTGTTACACACATTCATGAGACTGGACATCAAGCTATCCTTCAGGTAACTATCCTTCAATAGTTAGTAACTGATGGAACTGAGATTAGAGTTCAGTTGGTCTGGCTTTGAAGGATACCCTAACCAAAATACTCCAGCATGTCTACTGGACAAACAGAAACCTATCCCAGGAAAAACAAAAAGGACACCTGCTGGAAGGCAGGATTTTGATCCCTACACTGATTTATAATGTCAATAGGTTTTCCTGAGTTAACGTTACTATTAATTAAGTAGAAGATACTTTCATAAACCCTAGTGATCTTAGTTCCTAATCATCTTATAAATTTCATTAGACTTCACTAAGAATCATAGTTCAGACAGTCTTTACCAACACCCTAGACTTTTTGAATTAGTATCTCTTCACATGAGAACTGGGGAAGAGGTTAATTATAACTCACTTTTTAGGTAGAGATGATAAATGGCAAACACACAGAATGCTCTAGATTTCTTAAAGATCCCGTATCAAAGGATAAAAAATATTAATCTTAAGCACACAGAAAGGCCTATTCTGTTTTCTGCCATCTTGCAGACCTACCTTCAGCTCCTGCTGCAATGCAATAGAAGACGACGTCACCAGCATCCGCTTCAGGTTCTGGATTTTCTCATCCTGCACTTTCTGAAGCAAGTCTTTTTCATCCAGGAGCTGGGCCAGTTGATCCTTTTCCATTTCCTGTGCCCGAGTCTTTGTATTTACCTAAGAAATATTGGGTTATATTAACTGTAAACGTAGCAAAACTGAGTCCTTGGAAGTAGCTTCAACAATAGAAAATTACATTTGCATGCAATCTATGAGAACTTTAATTTTATTAAAGTAAGATATTGTCTATATGCAGAAATCCAACATGTAGCTATCATAACCATGCATTTCTTCTCATTAGGATACTATATATCATGTTAGGATAATGTTGTTAATTCTATTAATTGTCTATGAAGATATGAATAGGTAGGGAAGTCATGGAAGCTGAAATATGAAAACTGACTGTAACAGTAGAGATGTTCTTGACATTTTATTTCATTTGACATTTTAGCTCATTTAAAAAAACACTAAAATGAAAGGTTTTTACAAGATATGGGAACATGATGATAAAAAACAAAGAGGCTGACTATTATTCTATGCTTAGAGGGCTAGCTATTAACCTCAAGGTGGAGGGGCATTCAGGAGAAAGTGAAAATACAGAAGGTAGCTTTAGGTCACCATACAATCCACATACAAAGATACATGGTCTCTTAACATAGCTCAATTTCAAGAAACTCCACTAATTTCAAGAAATGCCCTCTTCTGTTTTTGTTTTTTGAGACAGATGTAGTCTAGGCTGGTCCAGAAGTGGCTACACAGCAAAGGATGATCCTGAACTCCTGGACTCCAAGGAACTAGTATTATAGGTATCCAGCACCACGCTTGGTTTTCTGAAGTGCTTTGTACACAGCAGGCAATCATCCTATCGACATCTCCAACAGTCAGAAACAAGGTATTTCAGTTCATAGTAAATTTCTTTTGTTGTTGCTGAAGACGGACCCAGGGCCTTGTACATTCCAGGCAGCACTCTACCACTGAGTTCCATCACAATTACTGAAGCTAAATTTTTATGAATTGAATTATTTTAAGTTAAAAATCTGTTTGTTTTAAAATTAAGTAGTAGCAATTCAGATATTCATAAATTTATAGTCTCTTAGGCAGATCTCCATCATTCTATATTGGCTGTTAGTCTGTCACCCGAATAAAATCATACATACCTCCTCTAGTTGTTTTTTAAGGTCCACTATTTCTTTTCTGTATCTTTTCAAGAGAGCTTCATCATTTGACACCTCATTAACATAGGGAGTATTCTTCATGTATTTAGCAGTGCTAGCAAACTGGGACAAAACATCAAAGTATAAGATATTCAATATTTAAAATAATTCCAATAATAACACTTGTTTCTTGCAATCAACTTTTTTTTTTTTTTTGAAAAATAAATAAAAAACAACAACAAAAACCCACAGTACTTTTGGCTGAAAGTATTTGCCCTTCTTTTATCTTTTTCTATTTTTTTGGGGGGGGAGGGGAGAGTGATGTGCGTGTGATGTGTTCATATACGTGTGTGCATATGGAAGACAGGGGTTAGAGATCTTCATCGATTACTCCACCTTCTTTACTGAGGCAGGGTTTCTTAGTGAACCTGGAGCGCGTGGATTTGGCCAGTGCAGCCAGGCAGCTTGTCCTGGGATCCCTTGTCTTTGTTTCCTGAGTACAGGGACTGCAGGAGAAGTGCTATGCCTGCCCAGCTTGGATGTTGGGATCTGAACTCTGGTCCTCACACTGGTGAAGAAAGGGCTTTGTCCAGTGAGCCATCTCTCCAGTTCCCAGGACTCCATCAGGTAATCATGTTGGAAGCCAAGTCTCATCTACTTTATAAACGGTGTGAGGCCGGCAGTACCTTGAGCCAGTACTCAACAGCTACAATTCTTTCCTTTTCTACACAGGATCTTGTTATATGGCTCAGACTGGCCTGAGACTAGATAGGTAACCAAGCTAGCCTCAAACTCCGAGGAACCATCTTGTTTCTGCTTCCCAGAAGCTAGAATTGGAGACATACATCATTACACCTGGCTTAATTTGTTTTCCATTTTAGAGAGTGTTATGTTTCCCAGGCCGGCCCATCTGCCTCAGCTTCCTAAACACTGGGATTTGAGGCATGTGCCACCATGCCCAACTGTGAAGTCTTGAAGCGTTTTCCCCCAATGGGGAAAACTCAGGGTCTGTGTAAGCTTTGCAAGCATTCTTCCCGAGCTGTATCCCCCACCCCTGCAACAGCTAAGGATGGTATGTGACTGTCTTAAAGAGACCATTAACAGCACTGGGTCCCTCACCTAGAAAGCTGCTATACTAACTTGTTTTTCATTTTTCCTTTTCATTTCCTTTCTTCTTAAATAGAAAATGTAGGCCTGCAGCTTATATGCAGCCAACTGTTAGGAGAAATTCACTAAATGTCTGGTCACACACATATATATTTTTGGATTACTATTTGTGGCAAGTAGCACTAGTTTTTCATTTATGAACCTCACATAAAACTTCCAGTTACCATGTATCAATAGAAAAAAAGTATGTTAAAGAAAATATCAAATCATTTCAGTTAAAAGTATTGGGTGTGCCCAAAACTATAGAGGTGGAATACAAATATTAAAGCCTGGGAAAATTAAATTAAGGAATGCCAATTGCTAGACTGTACATCAATTTTACAACAGGCATTTTGTCAATGGAAGAAAAATGACTTGTCATTTTGGTAGATAAAGTTTTCTGAAAGTTAGTCATTCCCTACAGTGCAGTCAGATGAAAATGAAACTCACCTGGAGAGTGGTCAGGGTTTCATCAAGGGATACTGGAGTGATTGTGCAGATGATACGTGTTTTTGCATTTCCTCCCAAGGAATTCTGAAGAATTCGTGTTAATTTGCTGTCTCGGTAATTTATGAAACCACTTCGCAGGAAACAAGTGTGGAAAGAAAAAGGTTGAGAAGGTACTATAAATGTTTTCCTTTAAAAAATGAACAGTCATCATTTTATAAACTAAGTTTTTACCGTTTGTGTAAGGCAGATCAAATTGCTAATCAAAACTACTTAAGGTAGAAAATAAACTCAGGAGGTTAGAGTCCTATGTATAAGAAGCTATGATCATAAATTAGGCACGTGTATTAAAATCCCACAAAGAGCCGGGCGGTGGTGGCGCACGCCTTTAATCCCAGCA